CACAACAGACACAACAGACACACAACAGACACACAACACTCAACAGACACACAACAGGAATGGTAAGCCAGCAGTAAACTGGGAGGGTTCTGGAGGGTTCTGGAGGGTTCTGGTGGTCCACTCACCGGACACCTTGAGCGTGACTTTCCTCTTGAAGTTGACTCGGACCACCTCACACTCGTACGGACCTTCGTCCTCCAGCTTCAGGTCCGTCATCCTCACGGAGAAGTTCCCTTTGCTGTAGAGCTCAGGGAAGCTGGTCACTCGTCCTCTGAACCTCTGGTGCTGCGACTTGGTGTTTTCGGAGTTCCTGACGACGTCCATGACGCCGCGGTCGTCCTTGTCCCTCCAGTAGACGGACACGCTGGACGGCAGGTCGTCCTCGCTGTAGACGCAGGGCAGCACGGCGCTGCCTCCCACCACGCCGCTCACCTCCACGCCGGTCGCTGGGAGACGACAGGACGAGTTAACAGCGAGTCACCTTCATGTCCATCAGTCATGAGAGTAAAGGCAGAGCGTAGGGATAGGCAGGACACAGTTCTACCTCAGACAGACGCAAACCGACACAAAGAGACGAAGCGAAGACGAGTTCATGTTCCTCACCTGAGTCCAGACAGCAGAGCAGCAGCAGCAGCAGCGGCGCCGAGCTGCAGACAAACAGACACAGTTTGAGCCTCACCACGGTTAACTCGTCAGTCTGGTGACGATGATGATGATAAACCTTCATCTGAGCAACTTCTACACAAAGAGACGGTGATCATCGCACTGACGACATCAGAGTCACAGAACCAGCTCCATGTGACCCGTCAGCCATGTTTGTTTGGTTAACTGAAGCCAGATAAGGACAGAAAGCCTGGATATGTTGAACCTGCCCGTAGCCCACAAAGTGTTGCTTCAGGAGAAGACCTCCTGCCTCGTTCCTCTGTGAGAGGACAACCCACTGAGACATCAGAGGTCTGTGACGGACGGTTCTGCTGATTTCCACATAAAGTGAAGCGTTTTGTGGTTCTTCATGAGGAACCAACAGATGTTCTAAAGTCCAGAAGTGAGAGGCAGAAACAGGAAGTGTAATTTTACAGCCAGCCCAGGCCCAGTTATTCCCCATTAAAGGGGTTTGAACACGTTCCTGGAATAACTGGTTCCACTGTGAGGCTGCATTCAGGGAACCTGGGACACCAGAGCTCCACATGCGGCCCTTTACTGGACACATGACAACATCCATGTTCACACACTAACGGGAACTTCCTGTTTGTCTGACGTGTGTTTGCTTGTGTCACATAATTGACTTTATGTCCCAAAACAAGAACCGAGCCTCATTCCAACAGTCGGAACCAGAGTCCTGGTATGTGTGGACATAGCTGGCCATGAAAGCTGATTCTGATTCTGATGAACGGAGCAGCTTCGTGTGTTCTGAACTGATACCGGATAAACCGAGTTTACCGGCGGCCCGTTACAGCTGATTCCGACCCAGTTTGATGCCGGTGACTCAAAAAGAAAACTAGCTGATGGGTGTTAGCTTCTGCCCGAGCAGGACAACCGTTAGCTGGTTCGTTATGGTTGGTTCGTTAGCTAGCTAGCTGCTGTTAGCTACTGTTAGCTACTGTTAGCCGGATAACGGTTCACCGTCTGTTCCAGGAATCAGGCCCGTTTCCGGCCTCATGTGCCCGGTGTGAGTACCGACCTCCCGGGGCCGCTCCTCCTGCTCCTCCTGCTCCTCCACGTGTCGCTTATATCGGGACATTTCATATTTTAGTCAGACTTTTTCAGATATCTACGGAAAAGTAACTGCGCAGGTCACGCTAGCGGAAGTGACGACAGAAGTTGTGCCCACCCCCCCTCAGAGCTCAGACCACATCTGTCCCTGTTGGTCTCAGTATTTCCACGTGACCATGTACAGACAGATATTAAATATTTATATATTTTCATCTCCAGGTGAGCAGCTGGGGGGGGGGGGATTATAAAATCCATCTGTAGTTGATCTACAGCACAGTCCAGTGTCTGGTTCTGAACCAGCAGATACAGTGGTGCAGACAGCTGGACCAGGACCAGGTCTGGGCTCAAGGTCACTTCCTGGAGCAACACCTGAGTGAGAAAATAAAGATTTCAATTTAAACCAATGTGTTTGTTACAGTTTGTACATAGAAGTGTTGTGAATGTTCAAACACCAGGATGTTCCCTGAGTGTTACCAGGATGTTCCCTGAGTGTTCCCTGAGTGTTACCAGGCCTCTTCAGGTGACCGCTCTGATGTTTTGACCCGTCATATTCAGAGCAGTTCTGCGTCACTGCGCCTGCCAACAGAACAAACGTATCTGAACAGTTTATGATCCGGGTCCAGTACTGTGAGCGGTAGTACCAGCAGGGTTTGATGTCCTGTCAGTTTCCTGGTGGCGGCTCCATGAGGCCCGTCTTATCTTCTGCTGACGGTGCTTTTCCTCCAGAATCAAAGGTTGAGCAGAAAGCAGAACTTCCAGTTGCAGCATGTCTCCGTCGACTCTGGACTCTGTGAAACATTGACAGGAATGTCAACAGCAGCAGCTGAAGGACGAGACGTGTCCAGACACAGAACTCACCTCGTCATCCAACCAGGAGTCAGAGTTTCACTGAGCCAGGCTCAGCAAACAGACAGGAAACTACATGCAGACTGATGCTGTCAGTGATCCGCTCACTGGGCCGGTTCTGACTGGGTGTGAGCTGCTGCCTCCTGCAGGACCAAACCAGGATGTGTCCCGCCACAACAAAAGCACATAAACACAAACGCTTGTAACACTTTTAAAGTTTTATGAAACTTTATTTGAAGCCTGTTCAGGATTTTCTGACTCTTTGTAATATTTTTATTATTTTTATTATTTCTGGAACATTTTGTTGATATTTTTTTTACACTTGTTGATCTTTACTGAATATTCTTTGAACAACAACAACAGCCCTTATTGATCATTGAATGAATATTTACTTCATTATCTTTATTTTCTAATCGTGTCCTGAGCATGTTGATATTTACTGTTTACATGCGTTCGTCATGTTTGTGTTTTCACTTCTTCAGTCCATGTTTCACCTTCATGTTATTCATGTTTATGAACATTTTATTCACATCTTTCTCAGTCTTGTTCATGTCTAGCCTGGTTACCATGGTGACAGCGGGGCCAACGTTGGCAAACACAACTGCGCATGTGCAGTGGGTCACGCTCGGCAGCCATCTTGAATCCGTGTCCGGTTCTCCCGGTCAGAACCGCGGCGGAGAAACACGCTCGACCCGACCGTGACAGCCTGAACCCGGCGGAGGGGAGAGAGGAGCCGGGAGGAGAGAGAGAGAGGAGCCGGGAGGAGAGAGAGAG